GATATAATTAGTCGTGCGCGTATATGTGTGTTTTGTTGTGTGTGTGTGCGCGCGCGTATATATATATATATATATATATATATACACATATGTAAACACATATTATATGTATAATTATAGCTATCTCTATGATTTCGAAAAGAAAGACTTTCTCAAACTTTGGAGAAAATTGGTATCATAGATGCGCGAAAGCATATTTAAAAAAATTTTTGGCGTTTCTTCGTAAACAGAACTGTCAATTATAGAAATATAGTAGAAAAACGATATAAAAAAACTACCTCAATCAATGTTATAACAAAATGCGCAGAACGACTTAGATCAATATTTCTGTTTTCTATTTCTTTCTCTCTTTTACACTTTAGCTCAAAGTGCAATATTATTAAACTAACATTTTTGGAAATATTTTTGATCAAACGTTATTATCATATTCCAAATTTGATTAATGAAAGATTGATTATTCTGATTTTCTTCCGGACATAAAATCCGGACGATTTCATGAATATAAATTATTCCTTTCAATCTCTTGAAAAAAACTGCATATCAGGAAAAAATTGTATCAGAAAATAATACTTAAATACTATTATTACATTTTAAGAACGGTTTAAATTTGAAAATTATATCCCACAATATATATGATTTGCTAACAAAAATACATACATGCGATAATATACAAATTAATAAAATTTTCAATGTAACTTTAAATAATTACGATATTCACATAAAAAATCACAAAAAATTCATAAAAAAATAATAGTAATTTTTATTATGTAGAAATATTTTATCTAGAAATTAACTTTTTACAAAATATTTACAAAACAACAATTGTGACTATATCTTTGCAATGATAATTTTTCTTAATAATTTTCTTTAATAATGCTTATTAAATCAGAATTATGCTTTTTAGAAAAATTAAACACGTAAATTACTTAATGCATGTATTAAGCGTATTAATTGCAAATATTAAAAAGAATTTAATTTCTCCGTGATCAAATCTCTTAGCAAAAGAAAATTCGTTAATAAATAATAATAGAATAAAAAAGGGTCAAAAAACGAGTACAAAAGATGTTTTGAGAAAAAGAAAAAATATAATACATTTAAAAATTGGATACAAACATTTCAACTTCATTAAATTTTCATCATTGCATTCGATTAACAAGTCGTATAATACAGAAAAACTATAAAGTTTGATTAGAAAAAAACATTATTCAGAAAATAACAATAATTAAGATTGAAATAATTAAATAAGCAACTAAAGATAGAACTAAATATCGAGTTAAAAAACATTTGAGTCAATAAAAGGTTATATTAATAAATAAAGTCAATAATTAAATCTACATAATTATTTGAAATATTTAAAATAAAGTATAAATAAAATATTTATATATTTAATATTTATTATAAAATAAAATATTTAAAACATATTTAAAATGATTTTAAAAACCATAAAGTTTAATTACAAAGAAATGTTAATAAATTAAAATCAATAACTAATACTACATATTTAAAATGATTTTATTAGTTTTATTAGTATTTTATTAGTTATTGATTTTAATTTATTAATGTTTCTTTGTAATTAAACTTTATGATTTTTCTTATATCTTTATGGTTTCATGTTATATCACGACTTATTACTTAAACGTACTGATGAAAGCTTAAGTTGAAACGTTTGCAACCAATTTTTAAATATATTTTTAAATATATTAAATATATAATAATAAATATATTAAATATTTTAAATATATTTTTAAATATATTTCTTTTTTTTAATATCACCTTTTATGCTTGTTTTTTTGGCCTTTCTTTACTTCATTGCTGTAGCTAATATGAGCTTGTTTCATTTTACTTTTTAATAATAATAATAATGAGATTATACGCAACACGAGCAACAGTCAAATTAAGTCATATATAATTATTTCATAAAACTAATAAATTAATAATAGTAATTTGGAGAGACTTTTCTCAAAGTAGAATACAAGCTTCTCCAGATTTTACTGAATTTTCATCATAACTTTACGATCCTTCACGATAGAAGTCAATAAAAAAAGTACGAATAATTACAAGAAGTAAAGCTACGTGTGCAAAATCAAATTTTAAATTCTTTAAAATTAAAAAATGGTTTGTGCGAAATTCGTGCGCGTTGTACGAAACAAATAATGATTATTACATTACAGTTCGTATTTTGCTTTCTTCTGATTTTGACTTGTCATTTTGTATGATATATCATTCCATCTTCTATTTATATTGAATTTGTAAAGACAGATCGCTTCTTCCTTTTTCTATCTGTGAGAATTCTGTAACTGAACTTTATTAATTTAACATCAGAAACACATGTGGCTCAAGTTTATCAGCATATCCAGCAGAAAGATTTTTCAACAAAAACAATAATTATCAAAATATTTCATAAAGAAAAAGTTAAATAATGAAAGTTAAAAATAAAAAATTAATAAAATTTTATCTGATTTTTTTCAATGCGTGGGAAATTCTGCGATTTTTTTGCGAATCCAAAAGAAAAGCAGAAAAATTTCACTTCTAAGGCAACGTTCTTATAAGGTGCACTTGTAAGATCAACAATCAATCTTAATATTAAACGAATGAATCCATACATGTTTTCATACTGCCAGATTTATTAACGTGATATACACGGATGTACATCTGAGACTCGATAAAATACGAAATTAATCATAAATTAAGAGTGTGAAAAAAATGTACCTTCTTGCGTTTGTTAAGAAGTTTTTAAACCAGTAAACGGTACAAAAATTTGCGCGTAATCTCTCATGATCGAATATAAATGCATCGCGCCATTAATGGTCAAAATAAACACTTTCTCGAAACGCAGAATATTTTCTCGATGGGAATTTGCAAAAAAAGATCATACAAATCTTATCTGACAGAACCGTTAATAAATTTAATAGCTATATATAAAATCGAAAGCTATAAATTAATTTTCTGTTTTGAATAAGAGAAATTTAAATTGACATGTAAAAGAGCGATAAAACTGAATGGATCCTCTTACTAATTTTCTGCTATGGTTTCGTTTCCTTCTCAGGAAATAAAGATATTAAAAAAAAATTAATATAAATTATATGTAACAAAAATTGTCCACAATGATTTTCCAAAAAGGAGAGAGAGCAAATTTGAAGAAATAGTATATTAAGTTCGATATTATTATTTCTGTGAATAAACATTAATATCCATTCAATTTTTTTCTCTTCGCATTCTGGAAAACATAAAGGCTCCGTGTAATTGTTAATTGTTGCGAAATATATATTAACAAATCATTGTTAATAAATTCCTCGAAGTGTCCGTTATAAAAGAAATAAATTCGGAACAAGGGAAGCGCCTGTTTGTCTGATCAAATCATCGTCTTCATTTCCAAGCCGAAGAGATGTGAATACGTTAAAGATACATTGCAATTATTCGTGATATATCAATTATGTAAATATTCAGTATTCCGAAGGTTCCGATGGATAAACATACTGGATATGCATTAGCGTTTGAGTTTGATTTAATCGGCCATCATAAGGACTATTTTTTTTTATTCAGTCTATTTTGCGCTTGCAGTCTATTTCTGCGGAGAGAATTAAACCGATATTTCGCTTCCTTCTTTCCTTCCTTCCGTTTTATGCATTTTGTGAATTATAAATATATAAAAAAGCTTATTCACCGCAATATTATGGAAAAAAAAGTCACGGATAAGATTCTTTTACGATTCTCGAAATCACAGCTGTTGGAATCTAATATCAACAATACTTGAATTTCTATACATGACAGTAAAAAGACATTTCCCTTGTTCATATATCGTTTGATAAATCAATTACATTGATCCATTGAGTAATATACGATGGAAACGAAGACAAAAACGAAGGTTGCGATCCTAAAATTGCATTTGTTTGTAAAAGTTCTGTTTGTAAAAGTAGAAAATAACAAATTCCAAAGTCATGTAAAAAATAAAAACAGAATTTTTTGTACACTTCTTAAATAACTGTGTATTACATTCTATAAATAATTTCTAAACTATTGAAGCATGTCTTTTACAAACATTTATTTGTAAATATTATTAAAATTTTTCTTGGTTTTTGAATTTCTGTAACTCATATTTTAGGATGGCATCCTTCGAGCACCTCATATCACATTGTAAGTTTTTTCTGGGTTTCTTTATCGTATCTTATATCAATAAATCCCAATAAATTTTTCGCTTTCGAGAGAGTACGCCGTATACACACACACACATTATCGTTAATTTCTATAAGCCTGTATAAAAAAAACGATACTTTTTTGTTCTTTTCTTTTCTTTTTTTTTGTCGTTTCGTAGGACGAGTGAGCGCATGAAGCAAACTATATTGGGACAACATGAATTCTGAATAAATACTTAATATTACAACAAAATCTTAAGTATTCTTCGTAAATGTCACCGCTATATAGTTTGTAAGAAAATAAGATACTTTACTTGAAGATTTTTATGTACAGATATTACAAACAACATTTCGTAATGCATAGGCAATGCGTTCTGCTACTCTATTATTATACATACTACAAGGGAGGATCTATACGAATCCGCCTTCCATCGAAATTCGATTCGTATCGTCTACCGAATTTTGTGGACCTTTCAATATTTCATATCGTTTTCTTAAAAATGAATAATTACTGCTTATATCGATAATACTGACCAAATTTGTAAAAATCTTCAGATATGCTTGGAGATTAAATATAAGATTTTCTATAATCTTTCAATATATCTATTTAGTATCGTATATTCTTTGCAAAAAATAAATTTTATATTAAAATTATTTAAAAAATGATAAAAAAAAATTTTGTTTCAGAAACTATGTATGCCATAAAATAAACATATTGTATAGTTAAATATTTATATTTTTAATAAATTGATAGATGTTGATATTAGATAAATATTGAGATTAAAATGTCTTTGATTAATATAAATTTGATTATAATTCCTTGTTTTATTATTAATAATCTACTAGATTAGATTATTAGATCATATCGATCAATTTATTTTTCTATAAAATTTAATGTACTGTTAAACATCCTAACAATTTAGTTTACTACATGTTTTATTTTTGTGCTTTCTTTTATGAAATTCAAATTTTATTTATAATTAAATAATATAAAAACAATTATATCAAAATAATCTTAATTATTTTTTATTATTTTAGTCTGTTTAATCTTTTTCGACTGTTGGATCCTAATGCGAAAGACTGCGATTTCAGACAATAAAAAACTTCAATGATATCGAATTAATTTACGCATTTAATACTATGAGTTTTATATTAGTATTCAAGGGAAAATTTTTTGCAGATCATTTATTTTTCATCAAACAAACACAGAAAATTTTAGATATCTGTTTATAAATCCCCGCTGAATGTATCTAAAATTTAAGTTAGCATTATCGAAATAAGCAGTTTACTTAAATCCAGTCTTAAAAGGAAAGAAGAGGAAGCAATGATAAATTAAATTAATATTATTCAAATTACATGTAGTTTCTGTAATTTCTGTTCCTCTTCACGTTAATTCATCCATAAAAAGAAATTAAATATTGTTATTGTGTAACATTATTTACAGATGAACCTTGTTCAAATGTAATTTATTGTACTTGATTTTCTGCGAAGAATTTGATTCGTAGTATCTTTTTCGGATTCATAAAATTTCTTGCTTTTTGCATCATTCTAATGAAATCAAGGAATCACTAGAAGCTTTCGCTTTTACTACATTGTGATCATACTGAAGGCCTACTTTAATGAAGGAAAAAAATAAGAGAGTTAATTTAAACGAACCATACTCTAGGGTCGGTCGCACGAAATATTTAACGAGCCGATCTCGCTAACAACATGGCATGGCGGATCGATAAACCTCACAGATGCCTGCCGTTTTCGGCCAACAAACGCTAATCCTATCTCAGTGTTCGATCGCACTTGAAAATCTCTATCATTCCTATTGAAAATCTGTCTTTCTCTCACATTGCAATTATAGTCTCTCTGTGCAGTCTCGGACAGTACCTTAAAAAACCGATCTTCAAAGTCGTAGCACAACTTCAAGAATCTGAGGGGAAGAAAAAATTGTTCCGAGTAACGGAAGGAAAGGGACGACTGCGCCGTATATAGCGTTCAAGTTTTGGCTACCACGGAATAAGTTATCGCAGCCGACCGATCACCGCGCACGCCACTACGAACATTTATATATGTACACGCAGGACGAGATATACCACTGCACTCACACTAGGAAATCAGGGTCACTATAATCCTCCCCACTGTCGCTGCTGTCGGAGATTCTTCTCCTCTTCTTCTTCTTGTGCTTTCTCACAGATTTGTCCGTCTTGTGCGCGCGGTGCTTCCGGTGCTCTCTCGCATCTGGATGGGTCTGTATCGTCAGCTTCGGCACTCGCGGCATCGTCGCCAGTGGCCCTGCGACGACTGTTGGGGTTGGCGTTGCCGTTGCCGTTGGGGTTGCCGTTGCCGCCGCCGCTGCTGCTGCTGCTGCTGCTGCTGCTACTGCTGTCACTGCCATAGCCGGTAGCGAGTTGACAGAATTGTTTGGATGCTCCATCGAAGCAGTCAGATTCGATTGCGGCGGTAACTGGTACTGTTGCTGACTAGCTGCGACAGCCAGAACGGCGGCATCTCCCGCAACAGCACCGTTATCCGCTATTCTACCGCCGTCAGTCTCGGGATGCAATGTCGGTATCCTTGCCGCTTGCGGATTTTCCGCGCTATGTTTGCCAGCGCCGCTGGTATCAGCGGCCTCGTTGCCACCACCATCATCGTCCGGTTCCTCAGGGTCAAATTTGAGCATCAGTTGTTTAAAGTCTAGATATTCTTTCACGAGCTTCTTCCTACCGTTCGCATCCAGCTCTTCGTTGATATTGGTCACGCCTTCTCGCAACCTCTGCAACGTGGCTTTGGGCTCAAAAAGCAAATTGCTCTTGCGATTTACCGCTTTCTCATAGACCTTAGCCGCTTCCGAGGGTGAATATTGACCAATTTTCGCGTCGGAAAACCCATAGAGATCCTTGAGATGTTGCCGAAGCGTTAATAAGAGCAGAAAGCCTTGACTGGCGGTAATGTACTCCCTGAGCAAGGTGGTATCGCCTGGTAACCTGGCCAGAAGAGCTTCCTCATCCTCTTCATCGTCTTCTTCATCTTCTAAAGCTGATAACAACTGATCAGATTTTGGTTGACCGTCCGGTCCCGTCACCGTCGGTTGTCCCATTGTCGCTTGTCCCGTTGGTTGTTCTGATAAATGCCTAGATTGGACAGATTGCCCCGATTGTGATTGCGATTGCGTACCGCCCTCTTTAGGCAGCAGAGCTTCTTTGAAAGACTGCACTAGATTCGTACCGGACATGGAAATAATAATGTCGATGTGATGGATGATAAAGAGTGGCTCATCCTGTACTTGATATGTAAAGTAGGCGAGATTGTCCGCCAGGTATAGCATCTGTGACAGGCTAGTCTTGGCAGTCTCGTCAAAGTGTTTGAGAAAGGATAATACAATTGCCCGCCTCTGCTGTTTTGTATTGCGCAAGATCGTGTAGAGGAAACCGTTGAGCGCGCCCGGGAACTCGCCTTCCTTCGTTCGCATACCTCTCACCGTAATGTCGTTCTGCAAGATCTTCTGCAATCGATAGCTCAACTTGATGCCAAATTGCGATTTCATGTGAATGAAGCCCGGATACTTCTTTTCGATATCTTGTAACTGTTTATCCGCGCTATGGCTCACGGCCTTTTCACAGTCGGTGCTCATGCAGATTAGATAGGGCACTATCTGGACGGGATGTACCAAACCCTGCGCCAAGATCAACTGAATGACTTTAAGAGCCGCATGTCGCACGCTTATGTTGACATGCAGGAAAGATTCAAGAATTTCTTTAATGTAGAGTTGGATAACGGTGCTCGCCATGCCCGACGACACGTCACCCATTTCCTTCAAATTCTCTTGCTTTGATAACTTTGCCCACTCCAAATCCTGTTTAATCATCCTCTTTTCTTCTTCCTGCAAATATACTTCAATATTATTGAGCACCTGAATCCTCATGTGCACTAATGCGTACTCAGATGTGAGTAAATGATGATAAAGTTCTTTTAATTCCGGTAACATCATGAACTCGTAATGTCGTATGCAGAGAGAACCGATAGCCGACAATGTAAAATGTCGGATATCGTCATTATCCAAATGAACAAAATAACTAAGTGTTTCGAAAACCTGATCCTTGATGTTGTCCGCTAGGCCCTCTATCACCTCTGGATCCATAAAATTAAAATGACGCAGCAGTAAGCCGACTGTGAAGAGCGCTCGCCGGAAAAATGGCCTATATTTTATTAGCGTAGGATTCGTTGGATCCTTTTCGTAAAATGATTTGTACTCGGTCAAATGTCCATAATATTTCTTGAAACAGTCTCGTATCAGTTTATAATTTCGTGTGACATTATTAACTACGGAGCCTAAACATGACAAACAACTCGCTACCACCGATCTGTCGTGCTGTAAAATCAGTTTTACCGAATCTTCTTCCAGCTGTGCTAAAAAAGTTTCACTGGGATGTTCCATCAGAGGCACCACCAATTCGAGCGTATGTGCGACGCTGCTAATGATTTGATAATCGCCCTGTGTCTGACATTTCAAACTCAGATAAGGCTGTAAAGTGATCGCATGATTCACGAGCAGCCGCGGGCGAATTTTAGCAAACAGATAGAGCGTCGTCAGACACGCAACCAATCTTTGCGACGAACCTTTCTTCTCTGATTTCTCCGAATCTAGATTCGTCTCTTCTAGCCGTAGCACGTTCTCGATCAGGCAATCCACAATCTGCTTACACGCTGTTAATAAAGCTCGCGGCGGCTCTGTTTGCATCTTTGTGCTGTCATCCTTGTCCTCTTTCGGCTTGAACAAACTTACTAAAAGCTGCTCAAACCACTCGAGTCCCATGTCTTTGCTAGCCGCTACAACATCTGTAATATTCATTACTTTTCTCAACAGCGATTCTGAGTCAAGAGAGGGACGCTCTCGTACCGGAGTGAACCACATGTTTTGGAAAACTTCCATGACGAGTTTTCGAATGCCCTCTTCATCATTCACTCTCCTTATCATCTTCACGCATATCTCTGGAATCTTGGGAAAATCTGGACACTCCATGCAAATATCCTTAAGAATTTTGATAACTCGTTTTCGCACGCTCACACCAGTATCCAGAATTCTTGCCGACAACATGTCATAGTATTTATCGATCAGTTCGGGTCTGCTCAATACGAATTTTCCTACCAAGTCAACCGCTGCCTCCCGCACAGATGTTGAGTGATCGAGGAATGAATGTTTCACGCCTAGCTGCATATCTGCTCTCGCCAATACGCTCGGATCCGCCTCGACAATCATTGTAAGACATTTCATTGCCTTGGTTCTAATGGCAATTGACGATTCTGTCAATACATGAAGAATTTGTTTTAGATATCTATCAAAACTTTGCGAAAATGGTCTCTTGGACGCAAGATATTGCGAGATCAATTCCGCAGAATTGTAATCGATATACGTTTGAAGAATGTCCGGTTTCGTTCCTGTGCTGCATGGCCTTATTCTGCTGACAATGTACTTTTTCTTCTCTTCGATAATTCGATAAGCCTCTGAATTCTTCTGTTCGTTATTGTCGTTCTCATCTGGGTCTTGTTCGTCCAATTCAGATTCAGTGTCTTGGTCGCTGCTGTGATGCCGATTTTTCTTCTTCGCTCGTTTCTTGTGTATCTTCTTGCTCGGACTATTTTTCGATTGACCTACCCGGGACTTCTCCAACGCGCAATCTCGATACCATTGGGCTAAATAAAAATGACGCGCATATCCAAGAGCCGGATCCTTCGTGCCGTTGACAGCCAGATAATCCAAAAGTACCTTCTGCAGAAACACGGTTCTTTCTTCATCCTCACTCAGTCCTATGATCTCTTTGTCCTTTATCTGATCATAATCCGAATCCTTCTGCTGCTCAAGTTTAATATCCCGTATAATTTGGTCAATGGTCGACAATTTACATTGCGAACTGACCGCGTCTTTACGCAATCTAGCTGCTACCACACCAAGATAATCGATGGAGGCTACTCGAAGCGACATATCAGAGCTTTTATTAGAAAAATGTCCCACCAACAGATTTCCAAGAAGACTCAATAGCAACTCAGCAGCAGGCCACTCGGGTTTGTTTACTGTTGCCAATAAATCTTGCACAAAATTTTCGAATAACGGTCTATAATCGATCTCTTCCCCCTTGCTACCACATTTGTTAAGGAATACCGTTAAAAAATTGCCAGCAATTCTGGTAGCGGTCTCATATCTATTAATAATAAAAACGTCAGCATCTACATGACTGGGCTTTTTCTCTTCATCCTCTTTCGATTTGGAGTCTGACAGAACCACTACGCATTGAATAAGTTGCAAGACCAATGCGGTCAACATTTGAATGTAATCTTCAGAGTTGAGCCTATACGTACGTAGACTCCTTTTGCTGCTGGGTAATCTAGCAATTGACGCCAGGATATCATCTAATAATAATCTTCTATGCTTCTCATATTTTGTGAATATTACAGTGACGAGTTTCAATGCACTCAATTGAAGGTCGCTTACCGATTCGACGAAAAACGGCGCAACACCTAACGATGATGCATGTAGAACACTCGTGTCTGTTAGAACCTGTATGTTCAATAGCTCAGCTAACAGACCTACCAACTCGTGCATCTTGTTGTAAACTTGCAGAATGCTCTTTTCGCGTACTTCTTTCATATGTCCTCTCTTCTTTCGTCCGCTAGAATTAAAATTGTCAGTCTTGTTCTTCGTATCTATCTTGTATACGGGGTCAAAGGAGGGATAGATCGTATTCTGCAACTGAAATTTCATAAAAATCACTATTCGATCAATTACGTCTTCTAAATAAACTGTCTTCGGCATATTGCTAGAAGTCATGATGTGCAGCGCGATCAACGATGCATCCACGGCACGCTGCACCCGTTCCATCGCCAATTGCATCCATAATCGTCCTTCTTCGACGTCATCATCCGGATCCACGAGCGGAGACACTCTAGCACCGTCCCGTATGTTCTTTTCCAGGATATTTAGTAATCTCACCAGTTTATCCGTAGGTATCGATTCCATGGCGCCTAACGTTTTGAGTTTGGCCGCTTCCGTACAAAGATCGTGTAATTGATACTTGGGAATAAGCATCTCTGGAGGCACATCGCCATCGTCTTCTAAATCGGCGTTCGCCGTAATATCTTCGGTATTTTCGAAAATCGTCTCTATAGTAGAGTTAAATCGTTGATACGTATTGGTCTCCATTAATTCCTCCACACTCAGTTTGGCTAATACAGGCACTAGCTTCTTCTCGATCTTCCGTATTTTTGGTTTCGTGGGCGTATACGATGTGTCCCGTTTATCATCCTCTTCATCGTCGTCCGTTATCCTTTTTCGCCTGCGACCTTTATCTTCACTTTTCCGTCGCTCCGCTTTCTCCTTTTCTCGTTGCACCTGCCGTTCTTTCGCGCGAGCTTTAAAGTACTTGTTATTTTTACCAATTTCCTCGTCGCTTTCGGAATCAGTTTTTGACGCGTCGTCACGATTAGAAATGCCCATTTTTGCTGCGCGATTCGGCGATTTTTCCGCAAATGCTGCCAGGCTCTTTTGCATAAGCGTCTGATCAGCCAACGATAATCTACTTAACATAACAATGGGCTCCTTTAGCTTTTCCGTCCCGGAAAGCTTCATAGTCTTATCCGAATTGTTGTTTTGTTGATGTTGTACATTGGGCGCCATACTTGCCGCAGCTGGATCTAAAACGTTAACCATGTCGGCAGCATGTATATTCGGATAGGATGTGGTCTGAGAAGTCGGCAATAAATGTTGTATCGCATGATCAACGCCTTGCTTGGCATCAATGTTCTCCATTGACAGATCAATATCAGGAAGACCGGCTACAGGATCAAGAAGAAACTGTTGATTCTCTTGCACTGCATTGTTAATGTCCAATGCTTGACCGCTACCTAATGCGTGATGGACTTGCTGATTCATCATGGGATCATAAAGAGGCTGCTGCATTCCCATGACCGGATGTTGCTGCAGAGGCACGTTACGCATGGGAGATGTTACGTGCATATTGTGTTGCGGTGTCATACCAGCCATGTTATGCTGCGGTGTTATATTGGTGAGAGATGCCAGCGGTGCATTGGGAGAACTCATATGAGCCGGCGAGTACATGTTCGGTTGAAGGGCTACATTTGATAACGGATTTATACAATTCGCATCCTCTTGCATATGTTGAGGCGTTGTCAACGTTCTCGTTTGCTCGGTCATAACGTTGCTTCTGGGCGACGGAGAAGGCACAGCAAATGGAGACATCTGCGAGATGTCTGCATGATTCTGCGGGGTAATCGGCATCCGCGGGTGTTGCGCGTGAGCGATGCCGCTGGCCACTGGTGGTGGAAGTACGGACCTGGCTGCCGTGGGATGAGCCGGACTACCTTGAGGCGTTTGCCTGGAGCCTGAGGAGCTCGAATAAGACGGCGAAAAACGACCATAACTTGCCGGTGATTGATTCGCGTGTAACATAGGCGTACCTTGCGTCCAGTTTCTTGGAGAGTTGTGTTGAGGTCCCCTGAACACGTGAGGATTTATCTGCAAGATCGCCTTAAGCAACTCAGGTGTGTTTTGCTCATTTTCTAACGACTGTTCGGTATTTGGATAATTATCCTTAAGTTCAATGTGATCCGATGAAGTCTGCGATAATGACATTATCAACTGCGGCACGAGATTCTCATCGCGAACACTTAGCAATATCTGCGCCTCCTCGGCTACTCGTGGATGAAACAGCAGCGATTTATTAGTCAAAGTCTGTGGCAGCGGAGTCGGTAGGGGCATTTCAGGTAACAAGTCAGTGAGACTCGCAATACCAGCGAGGGTAGTTATTGGCACACTTGGTACAACCCCATTCATTTTGAGTTTGATTCGTTCTGGCATTACAGCCTGGACAAAAAAAGAGAATTAAAATCAGTTTCAGTGTTCCTAAACTTTTTTGCCTCATGTGATAATACAATGTGCTGAGCATTGCACAAGCAAGCTATAAATACTTGTTCATGATATACAGTAAATGTAAATCAATTGACCGTATCTAGATGCACTGTCTCCATAAATGTCTAAATAAATCATTGTTAAAATTTTCTCACTATGCATTTCAAGACATACTGACACAAATATTTCACCGTTGAATAGAGTAGTCTCTAATCCTCTTTGAAGAACACTAGCACTAAAGCATATATTGGGAACTCAACAAAGTCTCTTTTAAGTTCCCATGTTGCAAATGAAATTTTCAACCAAATTTTGATGAAGCTCGTGGGTCCTCCAATAAACGATCCATGTTTATCAGCACTCTGTTCTTCTGCAACAAAAATTTCATCTATGTAATTTTCAAATTAAAACATATTAAATTTCTTAAAAAGATTCTTAAATTTCTTAAATATTTTTGAAATAAAAATAAAATAAATACTTGTATAAATAAAAATTAAATTATCACAAAAAATTATGTAAATTACATAAAAACAAGGATAAAAAGAACTAATCTAAAATTAAAATATATTTTACAACACATATAATTTATGCTACTCCAATCTAATATCATATTTATAAATGTAATAATATAATTTAACAAATTTTTATAACCTTTTACATATGCATCGTAAACATCGCTCATAGGATATTCATAATCAGTTTTTATATCTAAAGTCTATCTTAAGATTACATCTTAACCAATAGAATGATTGTATAAGCTTATTCAAAATCTTAAATATAAAAACCAACTATGAATATCAGTCTAGATTTGGTTATCATTTGATCTAATAAATTGGTTTTTAAATTTTTTAAATTGATATTATATAGAACTATATACATCATATACACATACGCATATACACATCTATGCATAATTATATACGAAATAGTATATATACACATATCACATATACAAAAAACATATTTTTCATTTAACTATAAAAAAAATAGATTAAATATTCATAGAATATTCATTGAATATTAATATTCCTTGAATTGCCACCTCGTTAGAGTGCACTCAAAACATAAATGTTAAAAAATTCTTCCTAAAAAAATTAATTCATTAAATTCTCATAAATTCCATTCCTATCACAAATTCCATTCCTATGCATATAAAGTAACTAATCATTTGACAGAAATTCAGTATGATCAGCTGACATACACAAGCGAATCAGAATTCCTAGTAATAGTGAAATCACACACAAGTGTCGAAGCTACACAATGTCCATCGCTACAGCCTGACTCCACTGCTTTAAAGATTATACAGATATCAATTATTATCATGTAGCACAATGTATCACAATGTATTCCTTTACCTTCTTTAGTTGAACGTCTACCATCTAACGTCGTGCGATACCATATCCTCGGAGCGACCACGCGAGCAGGTATAACAACACAGAAGGTAAGGGGAGGGGTAGAGGTAGGAGAGGGAGGGGAGAAACGCGAGATCCTCCTGCGGACGATGAACGTTGAACTCTGATGGACAGGTAAGAAGATTCGAGCGAATAACTCGCGCGGAAAAGCGCCGTTGCGTGGTGCGGGACACAACGCGAGGGAGCGAGACGCGGACGCGGCTGCGACAGCGCAGCGCGACAGCTCCGTGCTCCGCTCCGCTTATCCGGGACTATTTACGTCGCCGTCCACTCCGTCCGCTTGCTCTTGGCTGGTTTTGGCGGGAGGCCGGACGCCGTATCGCGGCTCCGCGTCGCTCGCGGCCGCCGGCGGATCCTCAGGCACGTCGCAGCGATTCCGGCGTAGCGGCTAGCCGTCCCGAGGTTCACCGCGAATAACACCGCCGTCCGGGGGATGCTCGCTCAATTGTCATCCGCGAGCCACCGCGATTTGGCCTACTTGGTTGGATGCGTTTCCACGTCGGCCGCGGCGGGCCGCGATCACGATTCGCGTGCACGACACTGCCCTCACACGCGTATCGCGCGGCGCCGCACGAGCATCGCCGCGTCGTAGGCGCTGCGTCGCCCCGTAAACCGTATTTATAGTGGGAATGCGAAGAAAACAGACACAAAGGCGTCCATTTTGCTCAGTGGTGAGCGAGCGGAAGTGGCGTAGTAGTGGGATATCGCTCGGGCCGAGACGCAGGTATTATCGGCAGGGCGCTACGCGGCGTCGCGCGACGCGACTAGACTAGCGGGCCGAGCGATGACAGCGTTCTCACGAAAGCGATCGTCGCGAACGTGAATATGTGAACGTGCGAAAATTTCAAAGTTCTCGTCCGAGTGCACAAATGAAGATTCCGACTGCGAATTGCCATTCGATGCGTATAAGAGAGGATTCATAATAACCTTGACGGAAAAGCAAAAATCAATCAGAAATCAACAGAAGCCAATCAAAACTCACGCGGTAATAAAGAGTACATTCTGCTACTACGCAGAACGCAAGGATTCTGATTGGCTTCTGCTTTTCTGTCAAGGTGTAAATCCTCCCAACGATAAACACGTGTATCATTACCTCAAGTTTGTAACTAGTATGAAAAATTTTCAAACTTAAAGCCTGTATCAGACTAAAGATTGAGGTAGATTGAAATTTAACCAATCAAAAAAATCAATGTCATATTTAGTAAACTTTGTCCGGATTGGTCAAATTCTAATTTAATCTCAATTTAAATCTTTAGTTAATACGGACATTAGGTTTGTTTTGTTTTCTTTTTTAAAGTTCTTGCTCTCTCTTCTCATCTCATCTTTTCTCTTTTTAAATATAAATAAGCCAAATCCTATCAAAGATAACCGAACTTTATCAACGTCAATGTGATAATTCTTTTAATTGATCAATCATATTTGTTGCTAAATTTATGAACAAATTGTGTGGTCAATTTCAATAAGATAATCGACCGATTAAATTAACTGGACTTGGTGAAAGTGGATCCTAAGGCTGGTATCACTATCGTTTTTGCTCCCAAATGCTCAGTTAAAAAGGTTCTGATGAGTAAATTCTGATGAAAATGTTTACACATATGTACATCTAAACATACATAGATACAAGATTTATGTATATATACATACACTTATGCATAGATTTCTGTACAGATACACGTATGAATGAAATTTTTGCATAGCTTTTTTGTATTACATTTGGTATCTAACTTTATTTTAAGAACTCAGTGTTGTTTCTTTATGTAATCTTCTAGTCTAGCAATATCAGTTTTGTAAATACAGGCTGTAAAATTTTTATATAAAGCGAATATTAACGAGACTTGACAGCTTTGGACGCCATTTTAAAGTACCAAATGATAAAAAAGATCTAAATTTAAAAATTTTTTCATTCTTGATACGAAATTCATATACTAGACACGTATTAATGCATAAACTTCAATTGTGGAAAAGGATTTCCAAATCTATAAAGTTAATAAAAAAATGAGAGCAATACAAAAATTACTGCGTTTTGTCGGTAATACAGACAAGTCCAGTAATAGGTTCCTTAAATTGACTATCATAGCATAATAGATTTGAGCATCTCACATCTCTTAGTTGCGCATCTAAGTTAATCATTAATCAGCGCCATTTATGGTGACGCGTACGACAGAAAAAACGTTTAGCAGAAAAAGCAACTTTGCAACTGTTGAAAGAGTGTTTAATATAACTGGTTTATACATTTAAATCCAATCCAGGAAACTAAAGGCAATTTCAATCATATTAAAAAAATCTTACAATAATTGCAAAACTGTTTTTTTCTGCTGAACGCAATCATAGATCTTTGGCTGGAATTTTGGAACACACTCGAATGTGTTGTTTCTTAAAGAAAAGAAGCTGAAATATTGAAGAAGGATAAATTATTGCACAGTAATCTCATTCATATAGAAAAATAGAAGGTATTATTCTCTCATTTGTATTAATTCGATCCCTTGATTTTAGTATTATTGATCCAGATATATAAGATCTACGCGCAAGGGGAAAATCACGTGTAAAAAATTTACTAGCATGCAAAATTCGAGCTTTTTTCTTCACGCGGATTTTTTTTTCACGCGGAAGTTGGCCTAGATCGTCGGCGATTTCCCAGAATTCGTATTCGGATAACGATCAATTCAAAATTAAGGTTCGGATCTCTGATGATATCACGATCGATTCCGCGAGCACCAGGATGTCGGATGGATTAGTTTGGGACGCGTCACCGATAGATGGCGCCCTACATGGCGTACCGTCGTCCGTAGCGCTATCCATGGGTCCCGTGTGCGTGCAAAAATAATACCCCGGAACCGAGTGGAAACTCCAAAATGGCGCGACTGCCAAGTGTAAACACCCAGTTTTGATGTCGGTGCGGAGTGTGGTAGCCGCCGTACGTCCGTGTCGATATTCTCTCGCGCCACGCGCGCCTCGTTTTTCCGTAACACTGTGGCAACAGGAAATCCCGGCTGAATGTTCACGGTATCCTCGATCGCCCATTCTATTTCAGGTAAACCAGCCGCGGATTTGTTACCGTCGCCTCGACGTCAACGTTGGGCCGCCCGCATTTCCCGATCCGTCGCGGCCGAACCGACGCGTCGTGATTGAGAATCGTTGCTTTCCGCGCGAAATACCCGCAACGTGCCTCGAGAAAGAGAAAAAAAGAAAAGAAAAAAAAAAGGGATCACTTTCGATCTTTTTCCCCATGCGTTCTCGTGTGCACGCGTAATTCAGACGAGATTACTAGTGGTCTGCCTAAATTGCTCCAGTTTGCCTTACAGAGTGCATGGGTGAACTAGTGAAGTCTATTTAAATCAAATGGTAGCTGAGTAATAGTGATCTTTAGATTAGGCAAAGTAGAATAAATGACAATCTAAAAGCTATGGTTAACATTATTCCATGCTGGCACAAACTGGCAGTAAGAGTTTGTTGCAACGGTAATTGATAAGTTGCTGTAATGAGCGAGCAGACTTCTTCTCTGATTCACAATCTTGATTTTAAGATAAAAAGGAGAGTTAATTATCATGTATTAATTTAGTGTATCGACATGCTGATATAATTAGTTCTCAAGTTCAGTTGTATCACTAATCGCAGTTATTAAACTATTGTTCATAAAATCAAAAAGTTTTGATGTAATATGAATTATATAAAAAAAATTAGATATAATATATGTAAGTCTAGAGAATTAAAAGAAAAAGTAGTATTATGGCTTATTTTAATATCTTCACCATTAGCAAATTTTAATGATTACTTGTAATCGTTTCTTTAGTAGTTCTTACATAGTGACACTAATATGTCAGTGCATAATTGTTAATAATTTGTTATAATATATTTCTTATTATATTACTTTCAAACATTTCAAGATGTTTTCAAGATATATTTTAGCATTTAATTTTACATATTTTCTCAATCTTCTTAAATTTGAGTACATTACATGAAAAAAAAAATATATAGTTGAGTATTTTGTTGGTTATTTAACATTTTACTCTATACACATTTCGAGATATACAAAATTAAACAAGTGTTTTATTATTATAGTTCTCTAACACACTGATAATATGGCTTCTTTTTTCATATTGAAGTAGTTATTTGATAAGTCGATTATAATTTTACTGCTATTTTATATTTCACATTCAGATGTGTTGATAATATTTGATATATGATAATATGCAAAATATGAAAATACATTTCTGGAGCTGAAAAAGATGGATATTTATAATTTCTACAAATGTTATTTATAAAATTTTTAATTTTTTAATAAAACTGAAAAATTGATAATTCAAGTTAATTCTAAAAGTCTATTTGTTGTGTAGAAGTCGTCCTAATAATTTGTACCCATCTTCTGACAACGAAGTCAATACTATTAAAACTTTATGGCTATATATTTATTGTTGTTCTTTTTAAGATTTTATTTTGCATAAATATATAATTTTGTAACAAAATACTGTATTTTTTTAAAGAAAATCAATTTTTAAATCTATTTTAATAGAAGGTCATATTATTATCTCTGTTTTTTGTCGACCCATTATCACGTTTTTAAAAATAATGTCCCAAATAATAAATATTTCATAATTTTGAGTCTAGAATTGATTAAACAACACTAATATAAATATAATTATTAAGTTTTCAATTTAAAATGTTGATTATTAACAAAATTATTACAAAAATAATTGTACATAAATGGACAGTCATAATATCACTCTCACCTTCTCCTCTAAAATGTAGTTGTCTAATAGAACTCGAATCGAAGCAAACAGAGTTTTATCTTCTTGTGAGTTCTATTAATTAATTGAATTCTAGGTCACTTTAAATTAGGCCTTATTATACTACTTAAGAAACTTATCATATTTATGTATATTATTTTACAGGGAGTGACCCGAGCAAAATGGCACAGAAGCGTAGTGCTGTCCACATAGGGTGAGTCATACTTAGTTTTGCAAAGATAATTTTTATTAGTTGCTTGACTCGGACGATCAATGTGTATTCATTACGGGCTTGTTCTTTATTATGCATTGAACTGCACTGAAGTTTGTTTTTCTTACTTTCACTAAACTTCAAACATTTGTTCGTTCCATTTAAAGTACACGACTCTACTAATACTAATTTAATTATAAAGAACAGATCTTATATCTGCAAGAAAAACATTGTGCTAATATTAGCACAAAAATATATTTTTGTGAACGAAGACTTGGTGGTGCCTTGATTGAAGGCGTTAAATGACAGCTTCACGAAAAAAATATTTTCATGTGTGACGTTTCAACTTAAAAAAAAAAAAAAAAAAGAATATATAAACATTTTTTTATATAAATGTGTTTGTACCAAGTCATTGAATATCGTATCTTTCGTATCAAGTCTTCGGACATCACGCAAGGAGAGCGAGAAAAGATCGTCTGGAAAGGCGTCCGGCGACGAAAATAGCCGCTTTTGACGTTAACGATCGCGGTGAAATTTCGCCGTGCGGTTACATGCACGGCGAACTTGGTGTCGCGCGCTTGATTGACGCAGTTCCGAGAAATGATGCAGCGCTGGGATCGGTTACGGCGTTCGCCACACACATAACGCGGTAGGCAACTCTCCGCTATCCCCGGCTCTTACAATGCTGTAGCTCGGCCAATATGCGCCGCGAGAGCGGCCCGCGTTGCAACATCGTTCAAGAAAACGCTTCGTTATCGTAAGCGCCGCGTTACTTTTACCGGCGCACGAGTCCTTCTCGAAAACACTTTTCTGCCGCGCGGCTTCGGCACGCGAAGCAGGCACAAATGTCAACTGCCGTTGTATCAACATGCTCCCAATGCGGCCAATCTTTTATATTCGTCGTGAATTTCCGATCCGTCAAAACTGGCCGGAACAATTCTTTCGGAGGACGATGCCGAGCGAATGCGTCCACTCTGCTTTCTCTTATCATTCGCGCTCATTCTAATATATATATCTATATCTCATTTTGATCAACTTTTAACTTTAAGTGTATAAAAAATGGGAACGTTTGCTGATACTAATTATTGGATTTTAAATAATCGGAAAAATTCATGTAATAAACGTCGGCCGTTTATTTTCTCTTGCACCATATCTACACGGAAAGAACAGTTTTGCTAAATATAGATTTGAAAAATAATTTTGTTTCGTCATTGTAAATTAGATAAGGTAAGATGTTCAAATTAGTTGCTATAAAGATTGTACAATATCCATCACGTTTAAACGTCCTACGTGATAATTTTGATATGCTCCAACGAAATTATTTTTCAGGTCTCTATCGGGTCAAATTTTTAGAGCTACAGCGAAATAATTCTTTCCGTGTAGAGCAGTCTCCTGAAATATCAAGAAGTTCCTGCTTTCCCTGCTTTTCCTTAAATGAAGAACAGCACGATGCATCTGAATGGGGACGAAATTTATCTTTAACCGTGATAATATATTTAATTTCGGTCGCTGAACGAACGTAAAAAATTAAGCTCGAATTACGATTAAAGTAAAAAGAAAAAAGGAAAGAAAAAAAAAAAAGGAAATCCTCTGAAACGGCGCACTCCGTCGCGAGCGAACGAGCGAACGGCGGCGATGCATCCCGGTTAAAAGTCGTCGGCTTCGCAACGGTGGCTGTTCCGAGCTCTCTGGTGGGAGAAGTGATAGTCCTCACCGGGGTATACCGCAGCAGCACATTATGCGGCTATGGTGGAATCAGTCACTAGCGAGTTGTGGGTGGTGGCTAGTCGGCGACCCATCCGTCCGTCTGTCTGTCCGTCCGTCCGTCCGTCCGTCCGTCTGTCCGTCCGTCCATCCGTACGTCCATACATACGTTCGTGTTTCCGCGTTACTTCGCCTGCGATCTTCATCGATCGCGATCGAGACCGCGATGCGACCATTGCCGACGCGTTGTTATCCGAGAGTGCGCCGAAAATTGGACGTCCAATTGTTGCGTGTGTCGTCAAACGTTTGACTGAGTCAGTGAATTCGACTTTTTGAAGAAAAAAAAAACGACCGCCTCGAACGCAATCGTGGATTTTGGGAAATACTTCTTCGAAGATCTTTTTATATAAATATTAAAAAGATATAGTCGGCTATTTTGATATTGAAAATTAAATAATGTGGAGTCACGTTAAATATAAAAACTATTATTAAGTCATTCGATTGGAAACAGTTTGAAAACAAATTGTGGCTAATTTTAAATAATTCTCAAGGAAAGATCAGTCTTTTCAGTGAATTTTGTATCTGACAATGAATTTTTGACAAACAGGAAGAACACGTGTGTCACGATGCGATCTTCCTGCGGTTAAACTCGTTAAGAGTATTCGGGAAAGAAACTGATTCTTCGCAGATAACCAGCGGTGTCGCTGGGGAATTTAGTAGGGTAGTTTCGCGCGGGAATTTGATACATCCGTGATTTGCATGCGTTTCTACATGCTACATGAGCTGAACCGAGTTCGTTTTCATCGTTCACGGAAGAACAAATGTAACACGAGATTTGATGTCAGCTGTAGAAACTTGATATATCTGAAGAGATCAATGATCACTACTATCGAAAATCGTGATTTTCAATACGATAAAATTTGAGCGCATAATTGAACTTTTCATGTTTAAAACTCCTTCCTGAATCTGCGAATAATAATTTTAGAAGAAACAAAGCAGATCGATGGGACATTTCCGAATAGAAAACTCATAGGCGCATAAAGTGACGGAGCGTCGGAGAAACCTGACTTTGATTTCGCAGGAACTTGCTTTATAATCTTGCTTGAAAATAAGCTAATTTGCTTCGCTTAACTCGCCATACGATCGAACGAATGGCTGTGAACGGAGTATAATTCGTAATAAATGATCGCAACGCGTGCGAACCATTTTAGCGATGGCCACCGTTTCGAAGAAACGGCGAGGCGAAAAAAAATTAGCGCGATTGTCCCGTGGATCGTACCGATGCGATAGCGCGATAAAAGATGCGTGCAAAATTCAGTGCAACGACGGTCCGACGAGATCGAGAATATCGTGATGTTCTCGGATTCACGATCAAGTCCTGGCCGGGGACTGGAAATCCTCTTCGGAAATATCACGATCGCTTCTGGAAAAGCGGGGAGGAAACAAACAACATAGTTAATAGAGCGTAGGTGGGCTGTTATTGGCAAGCGAATGGAGTTTGCCTGCGTGAAAGTGGCTGGTGTTTGACGCTTTCCAAAACCGAAATCGCCGCTGCGCTGAAGGCGCACTTCCGTAACAAGCGTTTTGCTCCTCCGCATTTTCTTGCTCGGTCGATTAATCGAGCCGTCGCGGTTACTCGCGGAACACGAAAAGTTTAGAAAGAAGCGCGACTCTTGTTCGAATTGTGAAATTCGACGTGTGACATAAGAGGTTGCTTGTTACAACGACGCAACGACATATCCTTATGCATTAACTTTGAGAACTTTTCCGTGATCAGATGAGAGTGAATTAAAAGTAACGGAAAATTGGATTTTCGTGTCATCAAGAAGAAGAACATATCAAAAAGCGTGAGAACTTCTTAGATAAAACGATTCCGGGAAATATATAAGACAATCCCAGCGCTCGTTTTTGCTTATCTATGTTTTTGTTGAAAGATTGCCATACAATTTGTGGATCAATTATGTGTAGCCTCGAATGATTAATCTTTAATGTAAAATTCCGTTCACACACACACACACACACACACACACACACACACACACACACACACACACACACACACACACATATATATATATTATCGATAAGACAAATACGTTTTTCTCACTACGTTGATCATTACGTTAGAATGAATTTTTGAAGAGCGCAGATAAAATAAATGAATATAAATGATCGAGGTATAAATTATTAAGATATACTCTCGCGTTCTTTCAAGATTTGGTGAGATACACGAGCGAACGTGATTAGAATTTAGATACAAAGGCCTTCGAAACTTTGAAGTATCCCTGACTAACGCTGAAGAGGGAAATGCGAAGTACAAAACTGCTTTGTTGGTAGACCGATGTGGTAGATCTACATCTTGCTCCAGGTAACAAGATGACAAGATAATTTGGTGGAAGGCGAGCGCAACATAGTCGAACGAGTTTCTATATCAGGAACCTCGAAATCGTGCATTCGTGCTGTTAAACCGTCAAGATATATTTTTTTTATTTTACGAAGATCCAAAAAATGACGAGATGCGATAAAGGAACGAAAATCACGTATTATCACGAAATTTTTTCGTACAATCGGGATTAAAGGAGTGCAACACATTTGACGCATGTTTCGTCAACATTTTGAAGACTGTGTAATAAACTAATAAGAGTAAAGTACATGGATATACAAATATTTTGTAAAAGCTGCGAACAAAAGCAACTTGTGTGAGTTATTTATTACGCTAGTAAAATTTATCGCGGAATAAACTTGTTAGAGTTCAGCTGAAAGTGTGTAAATTATTATTAAATGTACAAAAGTGCACCGGGACGATAATCCGATAAGACGACAAATCTTCCGTAACTTGAGACTAACATGATGTGATTAACTTGAACGAGTATTTCTATAAAAAAAAAAAATATCAAAAGCGCATCGGTGGATATCTCGGAACGAGAGGACGACGATTCGAATTGATTGATAATTTAAGAGCGACTCGATAACGATACAAGAGCGTGCCACGACGATCTCTGAAACTGCGATAGTGTATCGACGAACAATCTCGAAGCAACGATACGGCGAGTTAGATCGTCGATGACTTTTTGTCGATCGTGATCGCGTTATTCCGGTAATCGAGTTGGCTGGCCGGAAACACCGTCAAAATAGAGTATCCCGATAGCAGCGGTATGTACGGGGGTGGGTCGGCGGGAAGCGCGGGGTACGGGGTCGGTCTGGGACCGGGCCCCTCGCACTACGCGCCCCCCTCCGCCACGGTGGGCTACCAGTTAGGCCCACCACCACCCCCGGCCGCCTGTCCCGCCACCGCAGGAAATCAGCTTCTGTCTTACGGACCCGACCTATCGCCCCATCACATCCAACAGGCCCACACGGAGACCCAGTCGAAAAGACGGAGGTAAAAAAAAAAAAAACAGTCACCGTTACTTCGTCGCTATATCTTTTCTCCTCCTCTTTAAGACGTCGCATCTTAATAAAGATAATCGCGTAAATATTTTCCTCGCTTTGCGCAAATATTTTCCTTGTTTCTCGCAAGGATTTATCTTTAAAAATATGCATTGGAATCTAACGGATTATTATTTATGTTATGTTTGTTTCTTTGAACCTTCCAAACGCACTTTACACACTTTACGAATATGTACGATATAAAAATATTTTTTACGGCATGGCTGCCGACTTGATAATTTTCATGACATCTATCTCCACTTATACATGAGTATCCATTGCTGCGATTCTGTCTAATCGCACATACAGATTCTGAGGCGTACAAACTCTTCGTCGTTTTAATCACGCGTCTTCAATTAGCACTCGCAACATTGCAATTCATCGGCCGACGAGTCATTCTGACGTGATGCCAACAATTCGCAGAATGCGCTTGTTTCGCGATCGTGCAAAAGAAAAAAAAAGAGGAGCGTAAAGCCTTTTGAATCGAGGTAATTCGATTATTAAGTAAATGTCAGCATAAAATATGAAGAGATAGGATTAATAAATTTTAAAGAGGAACGTTCGATATTATTATTTTTTTGAAATTATTATCGATTAACTATTGAATTTTAAAATGACTGGAAAACTGAACTGACATGACAAAATTAATTAATAAAATTATAAAGCCAGTGTCCAAAAATTAATTGATTCAAACGAAAATTACTATTGTGTTTCGATTCTACTTATACAATATTAATTTGAATACAGTGTAACGACGTAAGAATTTTAATTCGCAACTTGATTTTAAAAAAATGCAATTCATCAAAAAGCAGATCTAAAATATCTTTGCCGACGACAGAAATGTTAAAAACGTAAGTATAGTGTTTTATGTCGCGTAATTTCATTCCATGCTGTCATCGTCGCGTATTATTGTTGGTCTGTATACGGAATGTTATTGCGGAATCAGCAAATTTTCATCCACATCAGCACGTCGACGAACAGCTCGCGTAACAGTCGCGATTTTGTTTTTCGCTGTAACTAACTGGCCGGGTATTTTAACGCATACATTGAATATGATGTAAAAAAATTCGATATATTTAATAATTTTGACTAGCATAAGCATAACATGACGCAGAATTATTGATTGCAACATCTTCAGCATTCCTCTTTTTATTTTATCTTTTATTCCTCTTTATCGCTCGGATAAAAAAACGCTCAATTATACTAAGCACGTTCTTCGCACATTCTCCGTTATTTCGGAGAAGGCGTCCATAATAAATTATATCTTCCTCCATATTCTGGTTTTCCATTTCATGTGCATTTTCTATATTTAAATTCTGATTTTTCTGTGATGGGGTGGAAGAGGTAGCTCCGTCGAAAATAGCAGTCGGCTTCGTTCGGGGGTGAGCGAACGCGAAGGG